TTGGTACTTATTATCGTTATATTTCTGATAATTGTAATGTTAATTTCTCTATTTGTTACAAAGTATAATTTTGCAGTACTTGCATATATACTAAGCTCAGTACCGTATTCTTGTATCCAAAATACGCACAGATAAGTTCCAAATTAATTACAGTATACTACACCATCAGGTACGGATCGTGAATTTGTGGGGCCCTGGGCTAAATCTACTTAGATGACTACCTAATTATTTATTACTCAACTAAAAATACACCGACCAACAACAAGCGACCAGAAATTCCCCGTTCCTTTATATAGACGCGCATTTGCATAGCTATGCATTTGGGTAGATTTTTTTTTATTTAATATTTTACGGCTTTGGATACAAGTCCTTTTTAGCCCAACATAAAATACAAAACCTTAAAAAAAATTATAATTTCTTCCCAGTGTTGGAAATGATTGATCTCAGGATTGCCAACTTATTAGATTTTTTAACGTTCTAGATATTTTTTTATATTCTAAATATCGTTTCAGTGGGGACTGGGGTCTTTTGTGTCCTGAGGGCCCTGGACTGCAGCCCAAAAAGCCTTGAGGTAGGTCCGCCCCTGTATACCATAATATCAGTCTCGTGACGTTCTTATTAAAGCATTTAATCACTATAATCAAATACACTTGAAGCCTCCACTATGTCTTGTGGTAATAATTAACGAACATGAAAGTACTTCTATAGTTTATGTTGTACAGAATATATATATATATATATATCAAATTAGTACATATAAAAAATTGCAATCTATAATGATGATACCTCACACGGCGACATTTAGTATCGAAACTAAGCAGAGCGAATTTTGTACATATTATAGAACTAGTAACTCAATATTTTTTTGGAATAAATTTATATTTGTATATGAAATACATAGAAAAACCTAAACTAACACTAATCGAGGTAGGTATATGGATCGCGGCGTTCAAACCGCAGGCAAGTTGGGAAATCGCTAGAGTCGACAAACAAGTTCAAAACCATGATTTTATTATAATTACCAAGTCTTCATCATCCTTCTGATCATCATCATTCATAATCCTTCTGAAGCTTATATTCTTTCTTCACTTCTTTATTCACCCCAGCATGTCATTGGGGCATTGTCAGTGTCACCAGTCACTGACAATGCCCCATCTGGGTTTACCGAAAGTACATCTTATGCATAATATATATAAATTCAGCACATACAAAACAACTGCAAGCTATAATGACGATACATCACACAGCGCCATCTAGTCCCAAATCAAGATGAGAAGAGCGTAATTTACACACATGATCGCACTGGTAACTTAAATATCTCCTTGAAATAAATTTGTATCTGTATATGAAATACACAGACACCTAAACCAATACTAATAGAGGTACAGCGATCGATCGGAGATTCACATCAGATTCGGGGGTTCAATTCAGATAAGTGCGAAATCACTGTGAAATTTGAAATAAATTTGTATCTGTGTATGATGTCTGTACACAGAAAAAGCCCTAAACCGATACAAATAGAGGTATAGCGATAGATCGGGGGTTCAAACATAGGCAAGTTGCGAAATCGCTGTTGTCGACAAAGAAATTCAATATCATAATTTTTAAATTAAATTAAATTACCAAATCTTCTTTATTCTTTCCCTACTTCCTTATTAGCCAATACGTTATTGACTACGCCTCTAAATGCTCCATCTGGGATTATGTCGTGTCACAACTCCTTATTATAAATTAGATTACATGACTAACTCGAATCATAGTCCATTAAATAGATCAAAGATAATAAAACTCCTACTCCCAGCAGTGCTAGACTTGTTGCATTATCAAGTATATTACACCCAATAGCTGAAGGCGTTCGTAGTGAGCACTCAATACTGGATTTAATGATCTGAGCATAAAAATATTACGAGGACCCACAGAGAGGCGAACCATCTAATGATCCTGCTTTACTCCCCGATAAATACCACTAAAGCCCATATTGCTTTTAATACTGCAATAACAGTTCTTTGTCCTGAATACCCTATTTGGGTCAAGTTTGTTTACAATCGACCCTTTTCTGTTTCATGAATATGAACTAACAAATCTTATTGCATGTTCAAAGCATCCACGGATGTAGGGAATTTTCTCTTCGGTCGACAACCTTTGGTATCCGCTATTTTGAGGTAGACTTTGGAAAACGCGCTACCGTTACACTACTTTTGATACTAAACATTTATGCTATTGACTACAGAATATATAGTAATATGTACGGTAAGTCTTATTATATTCAGAACTTGTTCTGTTCCTTGCTTATCTGTCCTAACTATTTGTGTCAACAGCGAATCAACCTTAGAACTTCATTCAGCAAACCATATTCGCTATATACTCATTAAAGAGAAAGCATTTTCACGTCGTCAGGCGTATTAGTATTCCTGCTGATACGCGGTAAGAAAGGTTCCTTACCTCTTAAACTTTCGCGACCTTACAAGTCTTGACAAACATTTTTTCCAGGCAGCCAAGCGTATAATTTAATTGGCAGATTACTTCAAAAGATGGCGCACGTATGCAACAAAGGCCCAGAAGCCTTTACACATACATGTATGCAGACAATTCAACCACGCTCTTTGTGTTTCCATTGTGCTGTTATACAACATTTAAATGCACATATTTTAGATTCCTCCAGTAATGAGAGCATATATATGTATTTTATAAATTCAAAAGGTTTTAAGAGATCATTACACTTTAATATCCATTATGCTGATACTCCTAGCGCTGTATTAAAGCTGCACGAGATATACTGTTATTAAGAACGTTCATTTTTGTAAAGGCTATATTAATAAATTTTATTAAAGCAATCATCATTAAAATAGCATAAACACGAAATGAAGAAGAATGAAGTAAATTAAATAAATATCAAGGAACCAAAAATTATTTCGTTTATATACGTTAAGACTCTAATTATGGTCTCAATAACAATTGCTAATGCGGTACCCACAAACGGAGAAGTAAGAAGACAGACGAAGAGATAGACAAGAAATATGAATTTGGGCAATTTAGTTGTACACTATTCAGAGCAAATTGTTAATAGAATGTATACTGTAGAACTTTTGTTTTAAGATTCAAATATTAAGCAGAACGTAGATATCAATAAAGATGATGATGGAAACTTATGAAGAACGTGAGCGAAATAGGTATAATCAGCAGATGCTGAAACAATAAAGAGGAAACATCAAAGCGACTATAAAAATTGACGCATTCCCTTTGGTAAGTCGCAACAGGTTCATTCATATCGTGAATACCGAAGTCAGAGAGGAGAGGGATACTCGCAATCCGGCGGGGGTAGTAATAAAAAAAATGTGTATAAAGGATGGAATGTGTAAACGAACTGCCCTGTCGGCTATTTGTGCAAATAAATAAACATTCAGCCAAATTAAAGAGGGTCGATTCGACTCTCTAACGTGACGAATTGTGTAATCAAAATAATTATTTACTGCTCGATTCGATCTATTGATATCATTGCTTCATTTGCTTTATTTTGCTTTATTTGCTGCTACAGTATTTTTTACTTTCTAAATTGCTTCATATTTATCGTTTTTAATTTGTTGCCAGTCGTTACTTTACTTCCTACCATCGTCAATATTTTCATTAAGGTCTCACTTAAGGGCGGGAGTTTCATTTACGCTCAAGAGATAAAGCTATAATTTACTTCATACTATATACTATATCCATGGTAATATAGAATTTTATATATATATTTCTTTTTATTACAGAACAAAAACATAGCACTGATAAAAAAAAGATTTCTACTTTTAGCTTTATAGAAAACTACATCCAGAGAATATATTCCATAACAGCAAACTATAATATGAGTTTTAATTGATTGTTTATTTGTCAGCTACATTAATTTCACAGCAGATTTATAAATCGAATTAAAACATGAATGTCATTGTCTCCATTTCTGTACTACCCCATGTAATGTGTTTTGTTTTTAAATTTCAGATCTGGAATCCCATTAAGTAAATAAATAACATCATTAATTAAAGTGGGATAAAGTATGAAACAAATTAAAAACTTTTGATTATCATTCCTACATTACAGAAAATAAAAAGTAAATTATGGAAGGAAACTCGTAAGTAGAAGCTATTAATAATACCGAGCAGTATAAAGCAGGAACAGTAAGAAACATGGAAGCTACAATACTTCTTGAACAAGTTAATTAATAGATAAATACATGTTAGCTTTGTAAGCTGTGCTTCGGCTTCGTGCAGTGTTCTAAGGCATGACACTTGTAGAAATTATTAAATGGTTTAAGTGTTTTAAAATAATAATGCCATAAATCGATTTGTATTTGAATAAGAATGAAAAATAATATTGACTGATTATAAATTACGAAGCGCCCTAAATATCTTCATAGCAATAATTATAAGTATTGCATAATGTTGCTAATAGAACGTTTCTGGCGTAAACAACACTTATTGTATTGAAAAAGGTTGAGGCATACCACGAGCGGTTATATAATGATGGCATGAGCATGGTGCCGTATATTCATAGGCAATAATATACAGAATAAGTAGGATTTAAGTTAAGGAACGTAGAAACGTAAATGCAAATTTAGTACTGTCAAAAATATATATATATATATATATTTAAAACCGTTTTTCTAAATACTAATTTTATTTTGCACAACCTAATTTTTAAAGTAGTAGAACAATAATATAACAATTTTTAATAAAACTACCCCCGAAAATTTCACACAGCTTCATCTAGTCCCAAGCTAAGCAGAGCTTACGTTATGGATACTAGACAACTCAATACTTAGACACATGTTTTTGTAAATATATAATACACCAAGACCGATACAAACAATCGTACTCATGAATACAAATGTTTATAACGTGCGAGCAATCGAACCCGCGACCATTAGAAGTAAAGCAATGCGCTGAACCACTACACCACTGAGGATGTTGAAGTACATCTCAAAAGTACTATATATAATATACCACAGTATAAAATATACTTACTGGGATCTTTAACGCCGGTGACCACGAGCTTGAACCCGTTGGCGTCGGTGCCCCAGTTGTCCGTGACGTATTTGAGTGTCACAAAGTTGCTGCGCGTAAAAAGCGCGCCCACCTGCTGCTTGGTGTTCCTGCAGGAGAGGTCGGCCTGGAACAATTAGTACAAAATCTTATCATTATCATCATTATTACATAGTATAAAATAAAGTCGCTGTCGCTGTTTGTCCGTCCCTATGTATGCTTAAATCTTTATAACGACGCAACGGATTTTGAAGCGGTTTTTTTTAATAGAGGAGTGAGTTAAAAAAAAAGGTTTATATGTGTAATTATTATTATCATTACATAGTATAAAATAAAGTCGCTGTCGCTGTCTGTCCCTATGTATGCTTAAATCTTTAAAACGACGCAACGGATTTTGAAGCGGTTTTTTTTAATACTCTCTATTTAAGTGATTTAAAAAAAAAGGTTTATATGTATAATTAGCTGTTCCCGCGACTCCGGCCGCGTGGAATTTAAAAGAATTTTTTGAAAATAAAAGTAGCCTAAGTTACTCTTTATTATATCAGCTTCCTGCAAAAAAAAGTCCCGTCAAAATCGGTCCAGCCATTTCAGAGATTAGCCGAAACAGACAGACCGACAGACAAAAACAGTAAAAAATGTTATTTTGGTATATGTACCGTATTTACGTTCATATGTTTGTAGTAAAAAACGGTTATTTCAATAAGAGGTTACAAACAGACACTCCAATTTTATTTATATGTATGTATAAATACATGTACACCCGGGCGAGTAGCTAGTTAATATCATAAGCGAAAGTTTGTGAGTATGGATGGATGTTTGTTACCCTTTCACGCAAAAACTACTGAACGGATTTTGATGAAACTTTACAGTAACATAGGTTATACATAAGAACAATGTATATGCTATATTATAAATAAATAGATAAATAATAAATAAATAACCCTGAACAATGAACACAACGCCATCCAGTCACACGGTAAGCTGAGCTTGAGTTATGGGTCTTAGACAACTGATAGAAATAATTACATATTTTTTGTAAATATGTACATACATAATATACGTAGAAAACACCCAGACCGATACAAACAATAATACTCATGAATACAAATGTTTGCACCGTGCGAGGAATCAAACTCGCGACTATCGGAAGTAACCGCAAGTCCACCGAGGCCGAGTAACGTGTTGCTGATCTCTAAGAAACTCTTAATATACACATAATCTTGGAAAACCCCACGTTGTGGTCTCTATAGAAAATTTCAGCAGGTTATTGTAAAACCTGAGCGTACGCGAAAGGAAACTTTAATGAAACGACACTGCTCGTGACCACAGAGAATTAAAGGCGTGAAGGTGAATTCAATATCAATTTAATTAAATAAATTCATCCATCAATTATATGTGCCTACATATTGCAACAAATTGAGCAGAGGTTCTTGCAATACGAGTAGAGGATGATGCAATTAAATTTTTCTTTTGCAAATACATAATTTTATCTTACGACCAAATTTATGAGTATCTTAAGACCAAATTTCTTTTTCATGGGGACATCTCTCACCGTAATCTTCGTCCGTCTAGGAATCTACTCTTGCACGTTCCTACTCATCGTACGAGTTTCGTCTCTAAATCTTTCATGCTTCAGGCTATTAAACACTGGAATTCTTTGTCCCTTGACATAAAATCGAGTACTACCAAATTTACCTTCAAATCCAAGTTAAGAAAACATCTTTCCAACGACTTTTGTAATTAAATGAATACATTAATATAGTGTTAATTTATCTCCCGCTTTCACTCTTGATTTGTCATGATTGATTATATCTCATTGTTGATTTGTATTTGGTATATATGTATAAATTCTAAATGTTTTTTATTATGTACTTGAATGTATATGTATATATATATATATATATAAATATCCCCTTGGGCACTTTGTGGCTCAGACGTGCCGTATAGGTAGTTTTTTGTTGATCCTTTTTCACTTGTTGATCCGGAGGCCTTTTGTTGATCTAATGCCAGCTGACGATATATAAATGTTGATCCTTTTTGAGCCACAACTGTCACGACGAGTAATAATAATAATTAAGCGATTTATACACGATTTTATACAAATCCACCTTTTTGGCATTCGACCACTTCTTGATCCAATTCAAACGGGCCAATCAGGGTGCAGCATTTGCCAAGGGCTTCCTCATTGGCACGTTTGGACTACTACATTATGGCTACAGTAACTTAATAATGTCTAGCTAGTATTTCAAGAATAATAGTCTACCTAATCTAAATATTTATAGAAATCAGTCTGGAGTAACGTGACTCCAGATCAAACCTCAATACTTGTTATTTTTTGGATGGGAATCTTTTCTTTTGTAACAACGTTACTGAGCGAATAAAGAGAAGACGCAACGGCGGATCCAGGGGGAGCGTCATGGAGGTCATGGGAGTCATGGGGGCGTCATGACTCTCCCCCCCCTTAGCCCAGAACTTAGGTAGACCACTAATTGAACTAAAAAATAATGAAACAGCAAATTTTTTTGCACGATCGGAGTGTTGGTGCAGTAGTATTAATTATAATTAAACATTGTTACTTAAAACATAACAGTTAAAGTACTATAACACTAAAAGCAAAATAGGTATTTTCAAAATACTTTTTCAAAATAAATTACCCTTTGAGTTTTTGTTCAAACCTCAGATATTATATTTATTTTAGGTATATCAATCAATACATAGTATAGCATAGTACAGTCTGTCTGTCTGTCTGTTTGTTCCGGCTAATCTCTGAAATAGCTGGACCGATTTTGACGGGACTTTTTTTGGCAAGTAGCTGATGTAATAAGGAGTAACTTACGCTACTGTTATTTTAGAAAAATAAAATAAAATTTCACGCGGACGAAGTCGCTGGGGCCAGCTAGTCTATAGATATACCGAGATTTAATGTTTAAGTTGCTATTATGTTATTGACAAAATTTTACTGTAATGTTACTATTACGTTATCCTACACAATTTGTATTATTTTGGATGAATAAATAAATAAATAAATAATAATCTATACATCTATACATTTAATAAAAATTGGAGTGTCTGTTTGTAATATTGAAAAAACCGTTTTTTACTACATGCATATGAATATATATAAGGTACATATACCAAAATAACTATTTTTATAATTTTAGTCTGTCTGTCTGTTTGTTCCGGCTAATCTCTGAAATGGCTGGACCGATTTTGACGGTACTTTTTTTTGGCAGGTAGCTGATTTATAAGGAGTAACTTAGGTTACTTTTATTTTAGAAAAATAAAGTTAAATTCCACGCGGACGAAGTCGCGGGAACACCTTGTTTTTAATAAAAACATCTTTTTTATGGTACTTGAGAATGTTGAAGCCTGTTGTTTGTAATATTGAAATAACCGTTTTTTACTACTTGCATATGAATATAAATACGGTACATACACCAAAATAACATATTTTACAATTTTTGTCTGTCTGTCTGTTTGTTCCGGCTAATCTCTGAAATGGCTGGACCGATTTTGACGGGACTTTTTTTGGCAGGTAGCTGATGTAATAAGGAGTAACTTAGGCTACTTTTATTTTAGAAAAATAAAGTTAAAAACCACGTGGACGAAGTCGCGGGAACAGCTAGTGTATAATATATTAGAGATACCTACGTGTTTTTTTATTGATGACTAGCTGTACACGGGATTTCGTCCGTGTTGAATTTAACTTTATTTTTCTAAAATATAAGAAGTTAAATTCCACGCGGACGAAGTCGCGTGTACAGCTAGTTGTCGGTAGTCTAGCGATTTATCTAGCACACCGCTTTGATTCCTGCTTGGTGGTCGAGGGTTCGATTCCTCGGACGCTGCAAACATTTGTATTCATGAGTATGATTGTTTGTAACGGTCTGGGTGTTTTCTATGTATAGATAATATATATGTATTTACGAAAAAAAACTTTGTATTTATATCAGTTGTCTAGTACCCATAACATAATCTTCAGCTAGCTTAACTTGGGTCTAGATGAAGCTGTGTGAATTGTCCTGAGATTACTATTATTACTATAATAAATCTTTTCAAATCAGCCGATGTTTATTTTTGCCATAATACGTGCTGTTACCATGTGATAATATTACGTACGTACTTATTAAACTATTAACTTATTATTAAATTGTTTGTAACGGTCTGGGTGTTTTCTATGTATAGATAATATATATGTATTTACGAAAAAAATCTTTGTATTTATATCAGTACCCATAACATAATCTTCAGCTAGCTTAACTTGGGTCTAGATGAAGCTGTGTGAATTGTCCTGAGATTACTATTATTAATATAATAAATCTTTTCAAATCAGCCGATGTTTATTTTTGCCATAATACGTGCTGTTACCATGTGATAATATTACGTACGTACTTATTACTGTTTTAAATGTGATGCGTTCATTATTTATATTTCCTTTGAATTAAAGACAAATGTAAGTATATATATATATATTTACATTTGCACACTTAGTTGATCCAGCCACGATCCGTAGATATTGCTGATTCCACTGTCTCTCTCTTTCTACCACTATAACGGTAGCGTGGCGGAACGGCAACATGTTGCCGTTCCGCGTTCTACCACTATCTTTGTATTCTAATATGCGATGTTGCCGTTCCGACCGAGACCATGCGTTGTTGCCAAATGTATTCGTCGATAGTAGTAGATACCTATACTCGATATATATTTTTTCAACAATTTCCTGCAATAGTGAATCCGTATCGGCATTTTTTTTAAATGCACAAAGATTTTTTGGCTCTGAATATATTTAAAAATCATTTACTTGTGTGTTGATGAATTTATATACTAGTACATGAAGTACCTAATACTTGTTTTGATTTGAATAGGTAGCGATATTATGAATTTATTATACGTAATCTAAAGATTTTGACGAAATAAAAGTAATTAGTTATCTGTTAACCTTGACTTCATGCTGGCACCAGTATTATCAGATGATGAACATACTCTTCGAAAACTTACAGCAGAAATATCGTGTTTGGACTCATTAGATAGGTCTCGATGAATAGAGTTTAAAAAACTTAAAATAAATGGTACATTAGAAATAATGTATAAAAACCCCTTACGTAAAATTCAACCACTTTAAACTTA